GAAACAAACACTGACACACAAATGTTTATAGCAGCTCTAACTGTAATCACACCCCAAAACTGAAACAACACAAATATCCTTCAAAGAATGAATGCATGGATTAACAAACTGTGGTAATATGTACAAAAGAATTGTCATATAAAGGAATAATAAAATATTACTGTTTTTAATAAAGCAATAAAAAGTAAAACATCTGCTTCATAAAAAAAAGATGGATGAATCTTAAATGTGCTTCTCAAAGTAAAAGAAACTAAACCCAGAGGCTGTTACATATCTTATTATTTCATTTATAGGACACTCTAGAAAGACTAAGAAAAGGACAAAGCAGGAATTACCAGGGGTCAGAGGAGGAATTGTCTCTAAGGAGATGACATGCAGAAATTTTTGGATAGAAATGCTTTGTATGAAACTGTGATGGTAGATTTATCACAAATGATAGAATTATACACCACAAAAAGTTTTGCACTATGTAAATTATTAAAAATTAACCAAAATCAACCAAGGGCAAAGACGGAATGCAGGATGTGACAAATGAAACTAACTGTATTATAAATGAATCATGTACTGACACAGTGTATAGAAAAGAAAAAAAAAAAAAAAAAAAAAAAAAAAAAAGAACACGACCTAAAAAATGTCAGCATTGTTTTGACTGGATACCATAACGCTAAATTCAAAAGAAAGGTATATATAAACACTGTACTCAAGTAGGAGAATTTGTTTTTCACCTGGGAATTCTGAAACTATCTAATTTATATACTAGGGTAAATATATTGTAGATAATGAGAGCCAGGTTTATTACTACTGAAGAAAGAAGTTAAAAACAAGGGTAAAAGTTTATAATCAACCCTGTGGTTCAAGATTAGTTGAAGGTATCAACACTGACTTGTGGTTTAAAAAATATTTACAGGGGCGCCTGGGTGGCTCGGTCGGTTAAGCATCCGACTTCGGCTCAGGTCATGATCTCACAGTCCGTGAGTTTGAGCCCCGCGTCGGGCTCTGTGCTAACCGCTCAGAGCCTGGAGCCTGTTTCAGATTCTGTGTCTCCCTCTCTCTCTGCCCCTCCCCTGTTCATGCTCTGTCTCTGTCTCAAAAATAAATAAACGTTAAAAAAAAAAAATTAAAAAAAAAATTTACATATACAAATATACATAAACACATACACATTAACAGAGATGAGAACAAGCAGAGAAGTAGGTATATGCATGAGTTAATATACATACATATAATCCTGAGCTTTATTAACTGTTAGAAGCACTGACATCCTAGTAACAATGAGCTAACCTGGTGCTATACCTTTGTTTCTAAGTACTATTCTCCATTGTTGAAAGAAGGGTACTGAAGTCCCTTACTAATATATTGTTATCTATTTCTCCCTTCAGGTATGTTTAGTATTTGCTTAATACACTTAGATGCTCCAATGTTGGTTGTGTACATATTTACAACTGTTTATCATCTTATTACATCACCTGACCCCTTTATTGGTATATAATGGCCTTCCCTGTCTCCTGTTACTGGTTTTGGCTTAAAGCCTATTTTGTCTAATAGAAGTATAGCTCCTATATTGAATCCATACGGATATACATGAATAACTAAAGGAATAAATAAATGAGGGAGGAACGACAGCTCTTGCTTGCAGAAAAATTCCAATTAATACATGTAGAAGGAATGAAAGAAGTATAAAAACTCCATCAGAATACCAGAGTGCTACAAGCAAGATCCAGTGATGAAGCCTAAAATTAGTGATCAAAGTTTTAAGCAGAAACAAGATATTTGCATAGTCTACCAGTTTCTATCCAAATATCTAGTATTTAAAAAGGAAAAACAGTAACTGTACAGTGAAGAACCTTGGTAGACATCACTTTAGCCAAGTGATCAAGGTTAACATCACCGGTAATGCATATCAACTTAATGTGCTCCCCAATGAAATGCACTGCAAATGCATAACCTCAACCTAGTCTTGAGACATCAGAGAAAACTAAATCAAAACTTTCTCCACTAAGTGAAATTAGTCAGAGAAAGACAAAAATCATATGACTTCACTCATATGAGGACTTTAAGAGACAAAAAAGATGAACATAAGGGAAGGGAAACAAAAATAATATAAAAACAGGGAGGGGGCAAAACAGAAGAGACTCATAAATATGGAGAACAAACAGGGTTGCTGGAGGGGTTGTGGGAGGGGGGATGCGCTAAATGGGTAAGGGGCATTAAGGAATCTACTGAAATCATTGCTTCACTATATACTAATTTGGATGTAAATTTTAAAAAACAAAACATAAAGTTAAATAAAAAAAACAAAAAAACTTTCTCCAAAATTACCAATTCTCTTTAAAGTGTCAAGATCATAAAAAAACAAGGACTGACACAGATTACTGAAAATAAAGGAGACAGGACCACTAAAATGTAAGGTGGCATCTTGGGTTGGATCTGAAGCAAAAAACGTTCATGTGCATAAAAATGAGATGAAATCCAAATCAGTCTACATTTTAGTTATAATTTTATATGAAGGATAATTTCTTAGTTTTGGTATATGTTTTATTGTTATGATGTTACAGTAAGATGTTAACACAAGGGAACATTTGGTAAAGGACATACTGGTAACCTCCAAGATATTTCCCAATGATCTCTGCCTCTTGGTAATTCATACCCTTGTTTATCTCTACCCGTTGAGGGTGAGCTGGAAATAATTGATTCACTTCTATTGAACAGAATATAGCACAAATGGTGAGATTCCCTTACAAGGTTAGGTTACAAAGACTATGACTTTTGCCCTGGGCATCCTCTCTTGTTCTCTCACATGCTCACTCAGAGGGAAGTTTAGCTGTCATATTTGAGCTGCCTTATGGAAGGAAGGGAGTGATGTCTCTGGCCAATAGTCATGTGAACAAGCCTGGAAGCACATGCTCTCAGTCAAGTCTTGAAATGGGACCAGAGCTGCAGACAATACCTTGTTTGCAACCCCATAAGAGACCCTGAGCTGAAAGCACCCAGCTAAACCTCACCTAAATTTCTGACCCACAGAAAACCATACTAACATTGGGATAATATTTATTATTTTAAGCTGCTACATTTCAGGATAATAGGTTACACATCAGAAAATAATTAATACAAGAACTCTACCACTTTTGTAACTCTTTAAATTTAAAATCTCAAAATAAAAAGCTTTAAAAATACTTAATACATATATGCTTACACATTTTATATACACACACGTATACAGATGAGTATGTATGTGTATATATGTAGCTTGAATTATTATGAACTTTGGAGTCAGACAAACCTAGATTAGAATGCCATTTCTAACACTTAATAATAGACATGTGATCCTGGGCAAAACGTCTAATTTCTCTAAGTATTAGGTTGTTTTTTTTCTGTTTTTTTTTTTTTTAATGTTTACTTATTATTAAGAGACACAGCGTGAACAGGGGAGGGGCAGAGAGAGAGGGAGACACAGAATCGGAAGCAGGCTCCAGGCTCTGAGCTGTCAGCACAGAGCCCAACGCGGCGCTTGAACTCACTTGAACTCACAAACCGCAAGATCATGAACTGCAATGTTAATGCCATGAACCACTGAGCCACCCAGGAACTTCCCCAAAGTATATTAGGTTTTTAAAATATATAAATTGAGGTAATAATATCTACCTCTGGTGATTATATTAAGGTTAAAATGATACCTACATCTACTATACCAGATGGCATTTAGTACATTTTGAACAAATGGCATTATTATTTAGTGCATATTTATAATCATCTACTATTTTCTTCTCATTCCAGGAATTCAACTCTAATTCAGTATTATAATACTGAAAGCAGAGACTGACCCTGTTTTTTAGGGTCAGTCTAAAATTCTAATTCTAAATCACCAACTTTTAGAGCTACAAGGGACCTTTTAGCTTTCCAATTCTTTCCTTCCACCATCAATCCCATAGGAGTGCCAAAGATATTAAATGACTTGTCCAAGAGAATACCTTGAAAGAAGAGCTGAAAGCAGGACTCAAGATCAGAGAGACACTACCATGCAGTGAACAAGCACTTGCTTTAATTAAAAAGACCACACTAGAATGACCACTCTCTTGCTTATAAACAGCATTATCTCACATAAATAAAAGTACAAAGTAGCAATATCAGTGTCTCAGTTTCCCAGAGGGTAAATAAGGATACCACCACTCACCTCATAGGGTTATTACAATCATTAAATGAGATAACATATAAGTCCCTCATGGCCATTTCTACCACATGTGGATGCTGAATAAATATTATTTCCCTTCCTTCTTTCCAAGCCCAGGGTTCTTCACTATGATGTGCTGCCTTCTCAACTATGTGGTAGAACATGAAACACAAAGGGTAATTCTATTCAAAATGTAAAAGTGAATGAATGATAGTCTTAAATTAGCCTAAATAATATAAATCTAAGGCATTTAGCCCTGAACTAAGTTTCCTTTCCTATAATAGACTATAAGGTGGAACATCACAATAGAGAGCACATTATATTGATACGCATTACCAGTGATGTTAGCCTTGATAACTGGCTAAAATGATGTCTGCCAGGATTCTCTACTGGAAAGTTACTTTCTCATTGTAAATACTAAATATTTGAGGAGAACCATGAAATGGAAACTAAAAGAAGGGAGAGAGAGAGCACACACAAGCAAGTGAGTAAGCTCATGCACATATCCCAAAGTCTGGTCTTCAGCACACTTCCAATACAATAATTAGTAAATTGTACTATGGATGATCAAAGACTTTTCTCAGAGTAATTCAATGTTTTGAAATACTTGATGTCAAGTCTCGTCAAAAGCCCTCTGAAATTAAAAATACATTACTTCCAAGTGTTTTCTCTTACTTAGGCATTTATGCCTTGGAATACCTAGATTAGTCAGATACAACCTCCCCTAAGAGAAATCATACTGCCTTTCCCCCAAGAACTTGCATTTGCTTAAGTATTTAAAACCCTTTATCACAAATTCCATCAGCTTGCTTGTCATCACAATGAGACTCACCGATCTGCAGGTACTGGAGTCCCTTCTGGACTGGAATATCCTTCCAAATCTGAAGTGTTCACTTGTGTTTGCCTTGAGGTTACTATCTGGCTATTCTGAAAAGGTATGGTTTTCAAGTCCTGAGAAATAGTGTTACTATCTGGAAGAGGAGACTGTACAACTTGGAAGTCCGGTGAAGATTTAAGTCCTAGAAAACCTAAAGATTCTTGATTCTGTGCTACAGGTTTACTGGCCAATAATTTGGATGTTGGTTCCAATGATCTTGAAGATATAGTCTGTAGGTCAGAGTTAAACTCACTATTCATCCTTGTTTTAGAAGCAGGATCCAATGAATGCAATCTTTTATCTAAGGTTCCACTATCCACCTTGGAAGGAGTCTTGGGATAAAGAGTTATACGAACACAAGAAAGTGCTTTTCTATTTGAGGGTGGAGTAGATGCAGATGTTACTAATGTACACTGATTTGGGACTGGTTGGGAGACCACAGAATCGAACTTGGCTTCAACATTTATCATATTAGAAATGTATGACTTAAACTTATGTTGATTATTCTTTTCTACTACATAATCCTGACCTTGAGGAAAGGGGGAATGGTATTTTCCCATGTGATCTACATCTGGGGCTTTGCTTTGTTCAAAGAGCTGACGTTGTTCAAGAAAAATGGAAGAAGGAAGGTCTGAAGCTATATAATCCTGACCTTGAGGAAAGGGAGATTGGTTTTCTCTCATCTGATGATCTAAATGTGGGGCTTTGCTTTGTTCAAACAGTTCTCGTTTTTCAAGAAAAATGCGACAAGGAAGGTTCGGAGCTACGTAATCCTGATGTTGAGGAGGGGGAGAATGGTATTTTCTCACATGGTGATCTGTGTGTGGGGCTTTGCTTTGTTCAAAGAGCTCTTGTCGTTCAAGTAAAACGTGCGAAGAAAGATCTGGACTTATAGCTACAGTGTTCTCTTTTACTCCTAGTGTGGAACTTGGTCTGCTCACGCTAATGAGGGTATGGTTATCAGAAAAATGAACTTCCTTGACACTGCTATACTTTGCACTGGTACTGGGCTCAGAATCACTGCCTTTAAAATCTGATCTTTCTAAGAGTTTTTCTTCTTGCTGAGAATGTTCAATAGATAATTTTTGACTTTGCCTACTACTTTCTGCTAAAATAGTCACAGCGGTATCTGGCGAATGACTAACAATTTTAAATGATGAAGGGGAAGAGGTTTTCTGTTCTAGATCTCTGGGAGGATTTTGCTCTTCAGTGAAATGAGAATTAAATACCCCCACAGATGCTCCAGTACACTGGCTACCTTCAGTAACACCAACCTTAAGAACAGAGGAATCTGAAAAGCATTTAGAGTGTCGGTGAGATGCAAAAGTGATGGAAGTAGTAAACTTTTTCATGGGTTCTGGGGGAAGCATATGTGATGAAGAATGACAATCTATTTCTTCGGGTGGCACAGGTTCTACTAATTCTGATAGCCAAGGGTCTATCTTTTCATGGAAAGGCATTCGAAGACCCTGGCTAATTCTGAAGTCATCAGCTGTAAAGTTCTGAAAGGGGGAAGGACTTCGTAACTGCAAGGAATTCCAAACTTTGAAATGGGGGTTACTCTGGTCTAATGATTTGGAAAGGTTGATGTGTCTGGTTTTCCATGATGATGGACTCCGTTGTCCTCTGATAACGTCTGAGGGGTCAGCAGGTCTGAAAACATAAGGGTGGCTATCCAATTGTGGTTGTTTGGCAGTTAGAGTCCTGAAACATCCTTTTTCATGGCTCTCAATAATGATGTGACCACATACAGCTTCTGGGTTGCATCTTATTCCCTGTGGACTCGGCAAACCCTGGAAGATATAAACAAATTCTTACTTGAAATAGTCCAAATAGTTTGTGTTATATAAAAATAAGTTATATATCCAGGCTAAGACGGACCACAAAGGTCCTGTTGATCTTTACAATTAAACAAGATTACAACAAAAAAAGACAGTTAACTATAGAATAAAATAGCTCATGATAATTAGGACGACACAGTTAATTTCTTCTAAAAAATGTTTCACTAAAGTAACAAATATAAAACCCTCAATTGTCCCCCAGTATTCTCACCATTTTTCTTTTAGTAACAGAAGCCCCTTACCCTAACCATGTGCTGGTCACATGGCCACAAAACTGGAGACCTTTCCACTTTCCTTTGTAGCTAGGTGAGACCATATGACTAGGTTTAGGCCAATAGGAGATGAGCAAAAGTAGTAAGTATAACTTCTGCTTCCTGTCTTTAGAAAACCAAATTCTTGGGGCTCCTGGGTAGCTCAGTCAGTTAAGCATCTGACCTCGGCTCAGGGCATGAGCTTGAGGTCCGTGAATTTGAGCCCAGCATTGGGCTCTGTGCTGACAGCTTTGGAGACTGCTTTGGATTCTGTGTCTCCCTCTCTTTCTGCCCCTCCCCTGCTTGCTCTCTCTCTCTCTCTCTCTTAAAAATAAAATTAAAAAAAGAAAATAAAAAAGAAAAGCAAATTCTTGACCTCCATGTTCCCTTACTACCACCATCACTACCATCACCATTTACTCCTGCCACCTAAAAATGATAGTATCTAAAACAATCAGAAGCCATGTGTAAAAATGGCTCAGCTGCCAAGCCAGTCTGGGTCTTTGAATAACTTCAAAGAGCAGAGCTCCCTTTCCTGCCCTAGACTATCATATAAAGGAAAAATACAATTCTATCTTATTTGACCATTGTATTTTTGGGTCTCTTCACTACAGATGCTTCTTACCAAAAAGAATAAGGAAAGGAATATTCCTAAGAAACGGAAAAGAACTAGTACTTCTTCCTAGGCTACACTATCAGAATCTAAAGCTACCATAAATATAAAATTTGAGATTTCTGTGCTTTACCTATAAAATCATTACTTAGAATCCTATTTGATGATAACAGCCACATTTGATTTCAAATAAAAATACCTTAAATTATGCTGCCACTTTTTTTTTATGTTTATTTATTTTGAGAGAAAGGGAAAGAGACCAGGGAGGGGCAGAAAGAAAAATCACAAGCAAGCTCCATGCTGTCAGCAGAGAGCCCGACGTGGGACTCAATCTCATGAACCGTGAGATCATGACATGAGCTGAAATGGAAGAGTAGGACACAACTGACTGAGCGCCCAGGCACCTCTGCTGCCACTTCTGATGTAATGGAGTAGTTGTACTTTTCCCTATTCCATTTGATAAGCATAACTAAAAGTCCTAGACATTATATATAAAACAAACTTAAGAATAACCTGAAAGATACAGGGGTGCCTGGGTGGCTTAGTTGATTAAGTGTCTGACTTTGGCCCATGATCTCGCAGTTCATGGGTTTGAGCCCGGCATCAGGCTCTGTGCTGACAGCTCAGAGCTTGAAGCCTACTTCGGATTCTGTGTCTCCCTCTCTCTCTGCCTCTCTCCTGCTTGTGCTCTGTTCCACACACTCTCTCTCTCAAAAATAAACAAACGTTAAAAAAAAAAAAAGAATAATCTGAAAGATGTAGAGAAGACAGGGATCTTGGGACCTAAGGAATGACATGGTAATGCAATCCCTGGATTTACTTTTTACATCATATATTCCAGATGTGGGAGCTGAAGAAGCCAGCAACATAGGAACAAAGGGCATAGAAAAAGGCTCTAATAAAAACCCACTCTCATTAGCTAAAAAAAAAAAACAGTAAAGGGGGGAGCCTGGGTGGCTCAGTCGGTTAAGCATCTGACTTCGGCTCAGGTCATGATCTCCTGGTTTGAGTTCAGGCCCCGCGTCGGGACTCTGTGCTGACAGCTCAGAACCTGGAGACTGCTTCGGATTCTGTGTCTCCCTCTCTCTCTACCCCTGCTCTGCTCACACTCTGTCTCTGTCTCTCAAAAAGTGAATAAACATTAGGGGGAAAAAAACAAAACAGTAAAGGTGAAGTCTAGCAAGACAGAAAACTTTTAGGCCATAACTGCTCTATTCCAGCCAATCACCACAGAAAAAAGACTGCCTCTGTGACACCAGCAAAAGCCAAGTGAGGAGCCTAAACATCTACTCTTGCTAAGCAATTACAAATCACCCCAACATCCAAGCCAAGGTACAGAGATGACCAAGCAGGAGCCCAGGAATTATTTTTACCCTAACATCTGGTAATGAGTTACCACTTCCTGTGGTATCAGTACCTGTGGAGACCACACAGGGAGACTGTACTTTCCCATTCCAGCAATGACATGCCCCTCTCTCTCCCATCTTTAGGCTGGAAGAAAATTTTGCAAATCTCATAACCAATGAAAGACTTGTATCTAAAATGTATAAAGACATCTCAAATCTCAACAGCTTACCAAAAAACAAAAACAAAACAGACAACTCAATTAGAAAAATAGGCAAAAACCAAACTTTTCAATGAATAGAAAAGAGATGGGAAAACAGGGGCATAATAACAGGTCCAACACCATTAACATTAAGAAAATGCAAATTAATATTATGATTCTTTTACATCTACTGAGATGATCATATGGTTTTTATCCTTTTGCATATTAATGTGATGAATCACATTGATTTGCAAATATGGAGCCAGCCTCATATCCCAGGAATAAATCCCACTTGATCATGGTGACTTTTTAATGTATTGTTAGATTCAGGTTGCTAATATTTTGTTGAAGATTTTTGCATCTATGTTAATCAGAGATACTGGCCTACAGTATTCTTTTTTCATAATGTCTTTAAATGATTTGGTATCAAAGTAATGCTGGCATCGTAGAATGAATCTGGAAGTTGCCTTCCACTTCTATTTTTTTGGAACAATTTGAGAATAGGTTATTAACTCTTCTTTAAATGTTTAAATGTTTGGTAGAATTCTACCTGTGAAGCCATCTGGTCCTGGGCTTTTGTTTGTTGAGAGTTTATTACTGATTCAATTTCATTACTACTAATTGGTCTGTTCAAATTTTCTTCTTTTTCCTGATTCAGTTTTGAAAGGGGATATGTTTCTAAGGAATCTATCCATTTCTTCCACGTTGTCCAATTTGTTGGCATATAGTTTTTAATAATATTCTTGTAATCCTTTGTATTTCTGCGGTGTTGGTTGTTATTTTCCCTCCTTCATTTCTAATTTTATTTGAGTCCTCTCTCTCTTCTTTTCTTGGTAAGTCTCACTAAAGGTTTATCAATTTTGTTAATTTTTTTTTTTTTAATTTTTTTTTTTCAACGTTTATTT